GATTTTGAACGAATCTTGGCCGCTGGAAGTCGCCCTTGGGAAGGTCCGTGGTCACGTGGAGTCGTCTTGGGACAGTCTTGGGATTCTTGGAGACACACTGGAAGCTATCTTTGGCCTTGTTCGGCTATCTTGTGCGATCTTCAAGGTCATCTGGGGCTACCTGTGGCCACCTTTGAGCCATCTTCGACGTTCTGATTGCTCGTGGCCCCCCCTCCAGACCCAGGGGGTAGGGTAGGGTAGGGGTCAAGGGGAAGAAGGGGACTGGAACAACGATCTCGTTAGACAACTCACGCTCTAAAGGGAAGGTGGGTTTTGCCAACGGGCCACTCGTGAGAGCGGCGCTCGTGTAGTGGTCGCAAACGCGGTCAATCGCAACAGCTGCGACAGGGTCAGATGATGACGATATGGATCAATATGCTAGGCAGTCACGGCCTAGGCTCGGGCTTGGGGGACGGAGACGCAACCACGGGCGGGTGAGGGAAAGAGGGGGTTGGAGTGGGGACCCAGGGCCTGGTGGAATATTGGATGTGTCGCATGGGTTGAGGGCTGTCGGCCGCGGCAGGCGTGATGCAGTGCTACTGTGCGGTTGGCCAGGCGGGGGCGGTTGTCTCTTGCCGTGTCTGCGGGCTGTCTCCTCTCTGCCTCCTTTTTTCCTGCTGCTTCCTCCGTCCCCCCCTCCGCAGCGCCACTCCCCACGACAGCTTCACCCCAGCGCCGCCTCGCCCGCATACCGCTTCGCCCCGCGACCCTGCCGCTCGCTCCAGTGTCCGCCCGCCCGCGTGCTCGGGCCCGCCCGCCCGTGCGCACCGCGAGGTTCCGCCCGCCCGCCCGACGGAGTCCGCCCGCCCGCCCGCCAGGGATTCGCTCGGCCGCTCGGCCGCCAAGGGGCCAGCCCGCCCGTCGGGATCTGCCTGCCCGCCCTGAACGGTCCACCTTGGCGCCCGCCTTTTTGGGGAACCGGTGGATCTGGTGGAGGGGGGGGTGGCGATTTTCCCGGAAAGGGCTTGGGCCTAGTCTTTTTTTTCCTGGAAAGGGCGGTGGCCAAGGGTTCTCATTTAGTAGGTTTACCTCCGGTTTTGACTTGAAGGAGGCCGGCGGATTTCCGCTCGATAAAAAACAAGGTAAAGTCAAATTCGGCGTGAAAAAATGCGTTTCGCTCGTGCCCGCTCGAGGAAAGTCGACCCCCCACCTCGGATCCTCGATAAACAAGTGGCACGCGTGCCCTGGCTCTTGCACTATGGAGCCGCGAGAGACAGGAGGCTTTCGCCTCCTTCCTCCAGGAGTATAATTTTGTGGCCGCCGGGGGGAGGACGAACGACGAACGAACGACGACGACGAGCGAAAATAAAGAGGTCCGAGCTCTAGAACACAGCTGCGCAAGATAACAAAGGGTCGAGGGCGAGGGGGACTGGGGCCAGGGCCCGGGGGGGGAGGCTGGGTCCAGGGCCAGGGCCAGCGGGGCAAGGGGGGCGGGGGGCCAGGGCCAGGGGAGGAGGCAGGGTCCAGGGCCAGGACCAGAGGGACGACGACAAACGAAAATAAAGGGTCCAGGGCGAGGGGAACTGGGGACAGGGCCGGCGGGGGGGAGGCTGGGTCCAGGCCCTGGGCCAGCGGGGCAAGGGGAGCTGGGGCCAGGACCAGGGGGGGAGGTTGGGTCCAGGGTCAGGACCGGACCAGGGACCCAGCGGGGCGAGGGGGGCTCCACGGGGCCAGGACCAGGTGGGGAGGTTGGGTCCAGGGCCAGAGTCGGACCAGGGACGACGAACGAAAACAAAGGGTCCAGCAAGGGGGGGAGTTGGGTCCAGGGCCAGGACCAGACCAGCTGCCAGGGACGACGACGAGCGAAAATAAAGGGTTGCCAGGGCGAGGTGGGCTGGGGCCAGGGCGGGGGGGGAGGCTGGGTCCAGGGCCAGGGTCAGCGGGGCGACGGGGGCTGGGGCCAGGGCCAGGTGGGGAGGTTGAGTCCAGGGCCGGGACCAGAGGGACAAACGAAAATAAAGGGTCCAGGGCGAGGGGGACTGGGGACAGGGCCGGCGGGGGGGAAACTGGGTCCAGGCCCTGGGCCAGCGGGGCGAGGGGAGCTGGGGCCAGGACCAGGTGTGAGGTTGGGTCCAGGGCCAGGACCGGACCAGGGACGACGACGAGCGAAAATACAGGGTCCAGGGCGAGGGGGACTGGGGCCAGGGCCGGGTGGGGGGGAGGCTGGGTCCAGGGCCAGCGCCAGCGGGGCGAGGGGGGCTGAGGGCAGGACGGGGTGGGGAGGTTGGGTCCAGGGTCGGGACCGAACCAGGGGCCGGGGACGACGACGAACGAACGAAAATAAAGAGGTCCGAGCTCTAGAGCACAGCTGTGCAAGAGAATAAAGTGGTCGGGGCGAAGGGGGCGGCGCGCTGGGCTGCTGGGGAGAGGGGGATGGGGGGGGGCGACGACGACGCCGAAATAAAGTGGTCGGGGCGGAGAGGGCGGCGCGCTGGGCTGCTGGGGAAAAGGACAGGGGGGGGGCGACGACGACGCCGAAATAAAGTGGTCGGGGCGGAGGGGGCAGCGCGCTGGGCTGCTGAGGAGAGGGGAGAGGGGGGGGCGACGACGACGCCGAAATAAAGTCGTCGGGGCGGAGGGGGCGGTGCGCTGGGGTGCTGGGGAGCGGCGCGTAGCGACACATGCGACACAACGCCGAAATAGGGCGACGACGACGCCGAAATGTGGTCGGGGCGGAGAGGGCGGTGCGCTGGGCTGCTGGGGAAAGGACACATGTCGACACAACGCCAAATAGGGCGACGCCGACGCCGAAATAAAGTGGTCGGGGCGGAGAGGGCGGTGCGCTGGGCTGCTGGGGAAAAGGACTAGGGGGGGGGCGACGACGCCGAAATCAAGTGGTCGGGGCGAGGGGGCAGCGCGCTGGGCTGCTGAGGATAGGGAGAGGGGGGGGGGGAGGCACGAACGCCGAAATAAAGTCGTCGGGCGGAGGGGGCGGCGCGCTGGGGTGCTGGGGAGCGACACATAGCGACACATGTCGACACAACGCCGAAATAAAGTGGTCGGGGCGGAGGGGGCAGCGCGCTGGGCTGCTGAGGAGAGGGAGAGGGGGGGGGGCGGACGACGACGCCGAAATAAAGTCGTCGGGGCGGAGGGGGCGGTGCGCTGGGGTGCTGGGGAGCGACACATAGCGACACATGTCGACACAACGCCGAAATAAAGTGGTCGGGGCGGAGGGGGCAGCGCGCTGGGCTGCTGAGGAGAGGGAGAGGGGGGGGGGGCGACGACGACGCCGAAATAAAGTCGTCGGGGCGGAGGGGGCGGTGCGCTGGGGTGCTGGGGAGCGACACATAGCGACACATGTCGACACATATCGACATATAGAGACATATATCGACACACGCACATATCGACGCATAGCGACACACAGCGACACATAGCGACGCACACATGGAGACGCATAGCAACACACAGCGACACATATAGCGGCACAAGGCACACAGCGACACATATAGCGACACATGAAGGGCACAAGGCAGCTGGGGGGGGGCGACGACGACGCCAAAATAAAGTGGTCGGAGCTCTAGACACCCTGTGCAAAATAATAAGATCGTCGGGGCGGGGGGGCACTGGGCGCGGCTGGGGAGGCCCCACTGGGGGGCGCTGGGGACCACTGGGGGGCGCTGGGGAGGTCCCACTGGGGGGAGGAGGGGTGCGTCGCGAAAAATAAAATCGCCGGGGCGGAGGGGGCACTGGGCACGGCTGGGGAGACCCCACTGGGGGGCGCTGGGGACCACTGGGGAGCGCTGGGGAGGTCCCACTGGGGGGAGGAGGGGTGCGTCGCGAAAAATAAAATCGCCGGGGCGGAGGGGGCACTGGGCGCGGCTGGGGAGGCCCGACTGGGGGGCGCTGGGGACCACTGGGGGGCGCTGGGGAGGTCCCACTGGGGGGGGGGGGTGCGTCGCGAAAAATAAAATCGTCGGGGCGGAGGGGGCACTGGGCGCGGCTGGGGAGGCCCACTGGGGGCGCTGGGGACCACTGGGGGGCGCCTGGGGAGGTCCCACTGGGGGGGGGGGGGGGTGGGGGGGAAGGAGTGCGTCTCAAAACAAAAATCTATGGGCGCGGAGGGGGCACTGGGCGCGGCTGGGGAGGCCCCACTGGGGGGCGCTGGGGACCACTGGGGAGCGCTGGGGAGGTCCCACTGGGGGGAGGAGGGGTGCGTCGCGAAAAATAAAATCGTCGGGGCGGAGGGGGCACTGGAGCGCGGCTGGGGAGGCCCCACTGGGGGGCGCTGGGGACCACTGGGGGGCGCTGGGGAGGTCCCACTGGGGGGGGGGGAGGGGTGCGTCGCGAAAAATAAAATCGTCGGGGCGGAGGGGGGCACTGGGCGCGGGGAGGCTGGGGGGCGCTGGGGACCACTGGGGGGCGCTGGGGAGGTCCCACTGGGGGGAGGTGGGGAGCGTCCCAATGGGGGCGGAGGGGGCACTGGGGCGCGGCTTGGGGAGGCCCACTGGGGGCGCTGGGGACCACGTGGGCGCTGTGAGGTCCCACTGGGGGGAGGGGGTGGCGCGCGAAAAATAAAATCGTCGGGGCGGAGGGGGCACTGGGCGTGGCTGGGGAGGCGCCCACTGGGGGGCGCTGGGGACCACTGGGGAGCGCTGGGGAGGTCTGAGGGGGGGGGGGGGGGGGGGCGTCGCGAAAAATAAAATCGTCGGGGCGGAGGGGGCACTGGGCGCGGAGGAGGCACTGGGCAGAGGTCCCACTGGGGGGCGCTGGGGACCACTGGGGGGCGCTGGGGAGGTCCCACTGGGGTGCGCTGTGGGCAGAGGTCCCACTGGGGGGCGCTGGGGACCACTGGGGGGCGCTGGGTCCCACTGGGGGGCGCTGGGGACCACTGGGGGGCGCTGGGGAGGTCCCACTGGGGGGCGCTGTGAGCAGAGGTCCCGCAGGGGGGCGCTGGGGACCACTGGGGGGCGCTGGGGAGGTCCCACTGGGGGGCGCTGTGGGCAGAGGTCCCACTGGGGGAGGGGTGCGTCGCGAAAAATAAAACGGCCGGAGCTCTAGACACCCTGTGCAAGAGAATAACGGGGTCCGCGGACTTCCGTTTTCCCTAGTGAAAAAGAGGGTGCGGGGCGTTATTTTCAGAATCCTCAAGAGAAGCCGAGGTCTGGAGCCCCGACTTGGACACGCAAAAAATGTGAACATGTTGACTTTTTGCGTGCCCTCTCGAGGATGGCGCGCCCCCCGCGCCAAAAAATTGAGGATGTCTCGAGCGAAATGCTTGTTTTACAAAACTTGAGGGACCTGGGCGCCCCAGCAAGCCCCAGGAGGCCCTGGGAGCGCCGACGCGGCGTAATCTACGAGGGATCGTTGCGTCTGGAGTAGCCCTTGGAGCGCGGGCGCAGCGTAAAATACGAGGGATCGGGGCCCTGGGGGCTCGGACGCAGCGTGATTTACGAGGGATCGTGGCCCTGGGAGCGCGGACGCAGCGTAATTTAAAAGGGGTCGAGGTCGCGGGCGCTGCCGTCGGGGTTCCCGGGGGCGCTCCCTGAGTGTTCGGAGTCAGGGATGCCCGAACCGTTCACATTCATATACATTAACATTAGGCGTAACCATGATTGCATCCATACAAATATATTCACTCGCGCACAGACTCATGCACACTCAAACTCATTCGCGCCCGCCAGGATGATTTGACCCTGATCCCACCGATCTGCGTGAGAGGTGCCACCGAATTTCAAGACATGTGGCAAATCCCATGTGCTTTTAGACCCTGACCCCGCTGATCTGCATGAGGAGTGCCACGGGATTTCAGAAATGTGGCAAATCACGTGTGTTTTTGGACCCTGACCCCGCCGATTTGCGTGATGGGGTGCCACCGAATTTCAAGACATGTGGCAAATCCCGTGTGTTTTTCAACCCTGACCCCGCCGATCTTCAAGAGGTTTGCCACCGAGTTTTAGAAATGTGGCGAATCCCTTGTGTTTTTGGACCCTGACCCGGCCGATTTGCGTGAGAGGTGCCACCGATCGGAAGACATGTGCCACATTCTTTTTGTTTTTGGATCTTGACCCCGCCGATTTGCATGAGAGGTGCCACCGATGTGGCAGATCCCGTGTGGTTTTATACCCTGACCCCGCCGATCTGCATGAGGGGTGTTGCCGAATTTCAGACATGTAGCAAATCCCATGTGTTTTTCGACCCTGACCCCGTCGATCTGCGTGAGGGTTGCCGCCGAATTTGAAACATGTGGCAAATCCCGTGTGGTTTTCGACCCTGACCCCGCCGATCTGCGTGAGGGGTGGTGCCGAATGTGAAACTTGTGTCAAATCCCATGTGTTTTTCGACCGTGACTCCGCCGGTCTGCGTGAGGGGTGCCGCCGAATTTGAAACATGTGGCAAATCCCATTGGTTTTTCGACCCTGACTCCGCCGATCTACTTGAGGGGTGTCAAGTTGGACCCCCCCAGAAACTTTCAGACCCCTCCCAGGAGACGGTAACCAGGTTGATTTTCGGCTCCCACCCCTCGTGGTCGACATCAAGGAACAATAATATAATAAAAAGCAAACCTATCACATTGGAAACTGGAACCTGCAACTGGTGCAGGGAGCATTTTATGGTTTCGGAGACGCGAACATAACGTAATTTACATGGGTTTCTGGTTTCGGAGATGCGAACATACGTAATTTACGAGGGTTTCTATGGTTTCGGGGACGCGAATATTGCGTGATTTGCGGGCGTTTGTGGCCTCGGGGACGCAAGTTTGTTGTAATTTGAGAAGGTTTGTGGCTTCGGGCACACGAATAGGGGGTATTTTGCGAGGGTTAATGCTTTCGGGGACGCGAATATTGAGTAATTCACGAGGGCTTATGGTCTCGGGGACGCGAATCTTGTGTAATTTACAAAGGTTTATCGCCTCGGGGGCGCGAATTTCATTTTATATTTTTTTTTGTTTTCCCACGACCCCCCCAGGAATTCAGAGCACGCGATTCGGGTGTGGTAATCGGGACGCTTTTCGGCTCCCCCCCCTCGCGCGTTCAGTTACAAGAAAGTGGAGCTATCACATTGGAAACTGGAACCTGCAACTGGTGCAGGGAGCAGCAAACCTTTGCCCTACAGCCTTGTGGCCCCACAAGGGGGCCGGCGGATTTAATCGCTTCGCTCATTCCGCCGGCCCATGTTGCCTCGCCGCTGTCGTTTGTCGGGGTGTTGTTGTCAATGCGGTACTGTTTGGCGGCTGCCATTTTTCGGAGGCGGTGGGTGGCGGGTCAAAGACCTCATGGATGTTGGTTGGGCTCTCGTGGTTGGCCTCTCAGGGGCAGTTTTGAGGCCTCTTGGGGGCCGTGTTGGGGCCTCTTGGGGCCTCTTGGGAGCCTCTTGGGGCTTCTTGGGGTGCTTCTTGGGGGCCCCTTGGAGCCTTTTGGGGGCCTCTTGGGGCCTCCTGGGGGCCTCTTGGGGCTGAAGGCTGGACTCTTGGGTTCCTGGTCACCTTCTTGGGCCATTCTTGGGGCTGTTTTGGGGCTCTCTTGGGCTGTCTTGGGGTCCTCTTGGATTCTCTTGGGGCGATCTTGAGAGCCTCTTGGGCCATCTTGGAGCGTCGGGAAGCCGAAAAAGGAGAAACCCCAAGATGTGTCCCAAACTGAAGGAAAATCAATTATTTGTGTCTCTTGGGGCCCTCGTGGGAGTGCTTTTGGATGCCTTTTGGGGCGTCTGGAGGCCATGGTGGGCGTCTGGCAGCGAATCTTGTGGCATCTCGGAGCCCTCAAGCCTTCTCTTGGGGGCGTCTTGGGAACTTCTTGGCTCCTCTTGGGGCTGTCCGGAGGGCGTCGAGGGCAGCGGCCAGGAGAAAATGGGCCGTCTGAGGGGCCTCCAGCATCTCTGACGGGCACTTGCCGGGACTTTGGCGGGGTACTTGTCGCGTCGGGGCCCCCAGGGGCCGCCTCGCGCGCGCGAACTTGTTAAACTGTTAACTTGTTACCGGAGATCTTAGCACGTCTCTGGCCCGTTGTGCCAGCGATTTTTGAGGATGTCCCGAGCGAAACGCTTGCTTTTCAGAATTTGTTGAGGATGTCTCGAGCCAAACGCTTTTTGTGTGTAGTATAGATTTTTCCTTTCTTGGGGACAAGAATTCAGTGGATGTCTCAGGTGAAATGCTTGTTTTCGCGTGCTCAGGTCTTGAGGATGTCTCGAGCGAGACGCTTGGTTTCACTTGTCCAGGTTGCCCAGGCAGATGTCTGGCATGAGGATTTGTTGAGGATGTCTCGAGCGAGACGCTCGTTTTCGCGCGTCCAGGTCGCCCAGGCGGATGTCTAGCATGAGGATGTGTTGAGGAAGTCTCGATCGAGACGCTTGTTTGCACGTGTCCAGGTCGCCCAGGCGGATATCTAGCATGAGGATGTGTTGAGAATGTCTTGAGCGAAACGCTTGTTTTCACGTGCCCAGGTCGCCCAGGCGGATGTCTAACATGACGATGTGTCGAGGATCTCTCTAGCGAGACGTTTGCTTTCACGTGTCCAGGTTGCCCAGGTGGATGTCTATCATGAGGAGCTGTTGAGAACGTCTCGAGCGAAACGCTTGTTTTCACGTGCCCAGGTCACCCAGGCGGACATCTAACATGTGTTGAGGATGTCTCGAACGAACCACTTGTTTTCACGTGTCCAGTTCGCCCAGGCGGATGTCTAGCATGAGGATATGTTGAGGATGTGTTGAGCGAAACGCTTGTTTTCACGTGTCCAGGTCGCTCAGGCGGATGTCTAGCATGAGGATTTGGGCAGGATGTCTCGAGCGAAACGCTTGTCCCCAGCACGTTCCGCAGCGCGTCCCCTTGGCACGTCCCGCGGTGCGTCCCCATGCCACGTCCCCTGGCACGTCGCCAGGCGCGTCCCTTGAGACGTTCCGCGGCTCTAGGGCAGCTACTGTGTGCTCAGACAGCTCGATCTTAAGATCCATGTCAGTTCGGTCAGGACTCGGATGCAAAGGGGGACTCGATCCACAACGCTATAGAGTACAATCGCGGCATGGCACATCGCAATTCAGCACGGCGCAGCACAGCACAGCCCTCGGCACGGTACATCAAGATCGATACACTCTAAATTGTTACCTGGCACGTTCCCTGGCACATTCCGTGGCGCGTCCCGTGGCGAGTCCCCCTGGCACGTCGCGCGGCGCGTCCCCTGGCATGTCCCGTGGCACGTCCATTGGCACGTTCCGTAGCGCGTCCACTTGGCACGTCCCGCGGTGCGTCCCCATGGCACGTCCCCTGGCACGTCCGCTGGGGCGTCCCTTGGGACGTTCCGCGGCGCGTCCCCCTGGCATGCTTGTCTGGCATCGCCCAATTACATTTGCAATTGAGGTCGTGAGAAACGGTTCCATGCCTCGCAGTTCTCAATCCCTTCCAGGGTTCGTGGGTCGATCATGCTTGTGCAGTCCCCGAGCAGGGGGGGTGAAGGGGCGACGGGGGGGAGGTGGACGAGGGCAAGAGGGTGAGAGGGACGAACAGGGGGATGGCAATGGTGCAGTCCACTCGACTGAAGGCTGGAGACAGGCAGGCTGGAACAGAGGCGATGCCGCCAAGGAGCGGACTGGGCGGTGCTTGTTTTTTTGCTGCTGCTGTTCCTTTTGCTGCTGCTGCTGCTCCTCCTCCTTCCGCCTCCTCCTCCTCCTCCGCATCCTCCTGTTCTTGATCCTGCGCCTCCCCCCTTCCCCATGTCCCTGTCCCTGTCCTCCGTCTCCCCCTCCTCCTTTTCTCTCCCCGTCTTCCCTCGTTCTCTCTTTCCCCCTTGTTATCTTCTCCTCTCGGTTCTCCCGCTCTTCCCCATCCTGCCCGTCCTCCGCCGTCCGCCCTACCCGTCCTGCCAGTCCTCCCCTCCTTCCCTTGTTCCTCCTCATCGTTATCTCCCTGCCCTGCTCACTTCATCTTTCTCCTTTTCCTCCTCGGGGTCGAGGAAAGGGGGAGGTGCTGAGGCAGCATTCCTGCTCGCTTGGGCAGTTCGCCGCGGTGTTGCAGTGCTACGTGCAGGCCAAGGCAAGAGGGACTCCTCCCCATCCCGCCCATGATGTTGTTCCTGCTCATCCCGCCTTCCTCAACCCACCATGATGTTGTTCCTGAGCAACGTCATGGCCACCCTCCTCATCCCGCCCATGATGTTGGTCCTGCTCCTGCTCTTCCTTCTTGCTCACCTCTTCCTGCTTCCTATTCGGCTCCTCCGCCTCTCCTTGGGTATCGCCTTCGGAGGTGGTGATCGGGACAATTTGTTGGGCAGGGTATCGCGGATTATCCAGACGAGCGTATTTTTGTTGCCGTATACATCTACACACGTATACACATATATATGTATACACAAACATATATGTACACAGTACAGACGACACGTGTGTGCCCAGACTCATACAACCAGTTGGCGGGGAGATGCCCATTCCCGTGAGCACCCTGGCGGGACAGTCAAGAATGACGCCGTCAGGTGTTCAGGATGCGGCGGAGCAGCGGAGGCGCGATCGAGCGCAGGTGGGGCTGTCACACCCTGCGACGTGTGCGGCGCAGGCAGGGTTTCCATACCTTGCGGCTGCCGTTGAGACAAAGCGGGGGGTCAACGACGGCGTTGCCGCGGCCTGCGAATGGACGCCAGTGTGACAACCATTAATGGAATCATGCGAACGGCAACACATTCAATATTCAAGTCTGAGAACTACACTTGCAACCAATCGGACGTGTGCCCAGAGGTGCCCGAGGTGATGATGATGATGCTGCTGATGATGAGGATGCTGATGATGATGATGATGATGCTGATGCTGATGATGATGATGATGCTGATGATGATGATGATGCTGCTGACGACGACGATGCTGATGATGATGATGCTGATGATGATGATGATGATGATGACGATGCAGGTGCGTTTGGTGAGACTCGACAGGTGTATCCCAAGGCGCCCTGCGATGCCACCGTGGTGCCGTATGGTGAGTCACCTGGTTAATCCCAGTTGAGGGACATTTCGGGTGTATCCCAAGAGGGTCCCAAGAAGCACGTGGCGCACTTGAGCGCAGATGGCTTTCCCACACCTTTCGATTTGCATGTTTGCCGATGGGGTTACCACAACTTGCGGTTGTACGAATTGTTGAGAGGCACTTCTGTGGGCATGGGGAATCGAAGGTTGGACCGTCGTTGGGCACATCTGGTTCAAACACCTGAACGTTTCTTGGTAGTTGTAGAACTTATATGCGTGGCCATGGTACACTACTTTGTTTTTTGATACTGCATTTTGACGGTTGAAGAGCCATTGTGTTTTTGGACAGTGACGTTGCGATTTTCGTGAGGGGCGCGTCCCGTTTTCAGGACTTGGAGGATGTCCCAAACGAAACGACCGTAGCAAAAACGCGGACGATACGATCATCGTCTCAGAGCCCTACTCCCACGTAGACAGCCAGCCAAGCCCGACGCTCATACGGCGCTTTGGCAGAACAAAAACGTTACGCAATTTCAACTTCACGACGCCACGCTGGGCAAACCCTTAGATAAGTGTGTACGATAACATGGTTTTATACAGAGAGCGAGGGCGAGAGAGAGAGAAAGAGAGAGAGAAAGAGAGAGGGAGAGAGCGATAATGTGATATCGATGGAGAGAGAGAGAGAGAAACAGAGAGAGCGAGAGGGAGAGAGAAAGAGAGAGCGATAATGGTAAAACGAGAGAGAGAGAGAGAGCGAGAGTGAGAGAGAGAGAGAGAGAGATAGAGAGAGAAGCCACAGAGAGAGAGGCAGATATACAAATGATGAGAGCTAATTGCTCGCATCCACGTGTTGGCACTGTGCGACGGTATACAGGGCTGAGGCGGAAATGGAATGGACAGCTGATGAAGTACCACTTGCCGCGCGTGAGTGAGGATAAGGGGCGAGAGAGCACTGGACGTTGTGGCTCTTCCTGGTTCTCTCTCGCTCTTCCCGGAAAGGGCGTGGGCCCAGGGTTCTCTTTGAGTTGGTTTTACCCTTGGGGACGACTTGGGGCGGGTCAGCGGAATTATGTGCGATAAACATACAGGCAAAGCTGGCTTTTTCTGCAGACGTAAACTCGTTTAGTGTCTCGGAAAATTCGTTGGGAAGGGCCGCTGTTCATATTGATTCTATTGTGGCCTTACTTGGTGTTGTCCCCTCGGGCTGATAAGGAGGTCGGGTTTGCTGGTTTTCGAAACTCGATTCCTTTGGAAGGGATCTGGTTGGGGTCCCGTGCCCGGGACTTCCGATCCTGTGGCTGCCACGTGCGCGCGTTCGCTTGCAGCTGTTGGGCCCAAAGGGCCCCTACAGCCCGGCAGGGAGTCGGGGTTTCATCCCTCGATTTCCCCACCCGCCCATCCCCCTTTGGGCGTATGCCAGGGGCTGGGCTTCTGAGCCCGAGGCACTCACATAGCGATGCCACAGGTCGGTGCGGGCTCTTGTGGCCCGTAGGGCTGTCCCTCCCCGCTGCTGCCGGCGCGGCCCTGCCGCCGCTGCCTGAGCCGCAGGCGCCGCGGCCGCTTCGCTGCGCAATTTTCCCGGAAAGGGTGTGGGCCCAGGGTTTTTTTTTCCCAACCATCCTGTGGTGTTGGGTTCTCGTTTTGAAGAGACGGTCCCCGCGTCCTCCTCTCCTCTCCTCTCCTCTCCTCTCCTCTCCTCTCCTCTCCTCTCCTCTCCTCTCCTCTCCTCTCCTCTCCTCTCCTCTCCTCTCCTCTCTCTCCTCTCCTCTCCTCTCCTCTCCTCTCCTCTCCTCTCCTCTCCTCTCCTCTCCTCTCCTCTCCTCTCCTCTCCTCTCCTCTCCCTCTCCTCTCCTCTCCTTCCTCCTCCCCCCTCCTCCCTCTTCCCCTTCTCCCTGCGTTTGCATCCACCCAGTACAGCGTTTCGTAGCCCCATAGGAGCTCCGCCGAAGGCCCCAGTGCTGCCGCCCGCATGCGTCACCCACACCCAATTCGGCACACCCCTCACACGTTTCGTGGCCCCATAGGGAGCTCCGCCGAAGGCCCCAGTGCTGCCGCCCGCATGCGTCACCCACACCCAATTCGGCACACCCCTCACACGTTTCGTGGCCCCATAGGAGCTCCGCCGAAGGCCCCAGTGCTGCCGCCCGCATGCGTCACCCACACCCAATTCGGCACACCCCTCACACGTTTCGTGGCCCCATAGGAGCTCCGCCGAAGGCCCCAGTGCTGCCGCCCGCATGCGTCACCCACACCCAATTCGGCACACCCCTCACACGTTTCGTGGCCCCATAGGAGCTCCGCCGAAGGCCCCAGTGCTGCCGCCCGCATGCGTCACCCACACCCAATTCGGCACACCCCTCACACGTTTCGTGGCCCCATAGGAGCTCCGCCGAAGGCCCCAGTGCTGCCGCCCGCATGCGTCACCCACACCCAATTCGGCACACCCCTCACACGCTTCGTGGCCCCATAGGCTCCACCACACCCAATTCGGCACACCCCTCACACGTTTCGTGGCCCCATAGGAAAGGCCCAGTGCTGCCGCCCGCATGCGTCCCCACACCCAATTCGGCACACCCCTCACACGTTTCGTGGCCCCATAGGAGCTCCGCCGAAGGCCCCAGTGCTGCCGCCCGCATGCGTCACCCACACACAATTCGGCACACCCCTCACACGTTTCGTGGCCCCATAGGAGCTCCGCCGAATGCCCCAGTGCTGCCGCCCGCATGCGTCACCCACACCCAATTCGGCACACCCCTGACACGTTCGTGGCCCCATAGGAGCTCCGCCGAAGGCCCCAGTGCTGCCGCCCGCATGCGTCACGCACACCCAATTCGGCACACCCCTCACACGTTTCGTGGCCCCATAGGGAGCTCCGCCGAAGGCCCCAGTGCTGCCGCCCGCATGCGTCACGCCACACCCAATTCGGCACAATTCGGCACACCGAAGGCCTCCGCCCGCACACGTTCGGCACACCCCTCACACGTTTCGTGGCCCCATAGGGAGCTCCGCCGAAGGCCCCAGTGCTGCCGCCCGCATGCGTCACGCACACCCAATTCGGCACACCCCTCACACGTTTCGTGGCCCCATAGGGAGCTCCGCCGAAGGCCCCAGTGCTGCCGCCCGCATGCGTCACGCACACCCAAGTCGGCACACCCCTCACACGTTTCGTGGCCCCATAGGGAGCTCCACCGAAGGCCCCAGTGCTGCCGCCCGCATGCGTCCCGCACCCTCATTTCGGCACACCCCTCACACGTTTCGTGACCCCATAGGGAACTCCACCGAAGGCCCCAGTGCTGCAGCCCGCATGCGTCACGCACACCCAATTGGGCACACCCCTCATACGTTTCGTGGTCCCATAGGGAGCTCCGCCGAAGGCCCCAGTGCTGCCGCCCGCATGCGTCACGCACACCCAATTCGGCACACCCTCACACGTTTCGTGGTCCCAAAGGGAGCTCCGCCGAAGGCCCCAGTGCTGCCGCCCGCATGCGTCCCGCACATTCATTTCGGCACACCCCTCACACGTTCCGTGGCCCCATAGGGAGCTCCACCGAAGGCCCCAGAGTGCTGCCGCCCGCATGCGTCCCGCACACCCTTTTCGGCACAACCCTCATGCATTTCGTGGCCCCATAGGGAATGCGTCCCGCACACCCAATTCGGCACACCCCTCACACGTTTCGTGGCCCCATAGGGAGCTCCACCGAAGGCCCCAGTGGGTGTGCCCGCATGCGTCCCGCACATCCATTTCGGCACACCTCTCACGCGTTTCGTGACCCCTCACACGTTTCGTGGTCCCATAGGGAGCTCCACCGAAAGCCCCAATGGGTGTGCCCGCATGCGTCCCGCACACCCATTTTGGCACACCCCTCGCACGTTTCTTGGCCCCGTAGAGGGGCTCCACCGAAGGTCCCAGTGCTGCCGCCCGCATGCGTCCCGCACACCCATTTCGGCATACCCTTCACACGTTTCGTGGCCCAAAGGGAGCTCCGCCGAAGGCCCCAGTGGGTGTGCCCGCATGCGTCCCGCACCGTCATTTCGGCACACCCCTCACGCGTTTCGTGACCCCTCGCACGTTTTGTGGTCC